CCACTTGAGCTACAGTGCCACTTCCGGTTTTCTGGTGGTTTATTGGAGATAAGAGTTTCATGGACTTTCCTGCCCGGGCTGGCTTTGAACCACAATCCTCAGATCCCAGCCTCCTGAGTAGCTAGGATTATAGGCGTGAGCCACCAGCGTCCGGCTATCATGTATATTTGCATATGTCATAAATATGGTAGGGGAAAGTCACTATATATAATAAATGTGTACCTATATATTATAATATATATTGTCAGTTGTGGGGCTTGAACTCTGGGCCTGGGCGCTGTCCCTCAGCTCTTCAGCTCAAGGCGAGTGCTCTACTGCTTGAGCCACAGCGCCACTTCTGGTTTTCTGGTAGTTCATTGGAAATAAGAGTCTCATGGACTTTCCTGTCCAGGCTGGCTTTGAGATCCTCAGATCTCAGCCTCCTGAGTAGCTAGGATGACAGGTGTGAGCCACCGGCACCCAACTCATATATATTTTGTGCTGATACTGGGGTTTGAACTCAGACCTTGGGCACTGAGCTCAAGCATTTTTGCTTAGTATGTTGCTTGTCCTCTACCACTTGAGCCACAGCTCCACTTCAGGCATTTTGCTGGTAAATTGGAGATAAGAGTCTCACAGACTGGCCCCCAGCTCTCAGCCTCCTGAGTAGCTAGGAGTCCAGGTGTGAGTAGCCATCAAACCAAGGATGTTGCTTTGTTTTGCAGTACTGGGGATTGAACTCAAGCCCCCCTCCCCTATTTGCTATGCAGGGGGCTTCACCATGTAAACCCTGGCCCCCACCCCCGCCGCCGCTCCCTCTCTCTCGGCCTCTCTGGCATGTCCAGCCCAGCGTGATTTCCTTGGTGCTCCTCAGACTGTCAGACTGCGCAGACCTTTGGGTGTTGCCCCTGTGTGGCAGCCAGGCGCCACCAGTCCTGTTACTGCTCTACTGCTGATCATCTGGTGGAGGTGGCGGCCCCAGAGCTCACCTTTACAGCCTCACTTTCCCATTGCCCAGCCCTTTCCGGTCTGTGGACGCCCCAGCCTGCCACCCCATGGATTCATATCCGCTAGGATCCTCGCCTGAGTCTGGCATTTCCTCATCATTTCTACATTTATCAGCCATTTCCTGTAAAGGAAAGTCTTCTCTGCCTCTCTCTGACTTCCCCTGTGCTCTAATGGGCTGTGTTGTCATTTGGATGCTTTACAGGAAGCTGCTACTTCACCATGCCGTTGGGGCTGGCCACGGTCATCAGGCTGTCCTGCGTCCTTCCGACCCTATTAGTCTTGGATCATGTCTTTCCTCCCTGGCCCAGCAATGTTCTGGAACATTCTCCTTTTCCTCTTATGTTGATTACCTGGTGCTTTCATTTTTCATTTTAGTTCTTCAAGGAATGGTGGTTGGTTCTTTTTTTTTTTGCCAGTCCTGAGGCTTGAACTCAAGGCCAGGACCCTGTTCCTGAGCTGCTTTTTGCTCAAGGCTATTTATCCTTCCACCATTTGAGCCACAGCTCCACTTCCAGCTTTTTTTTGTTTGTTTGTGTGTTTTGTTTTTGTAGTTAATTGGAGATGAGAGTTTCATAGACTCTCCTGCCTGTCTTCAAATCTCAATCCTCAGATCCCAGCCTCCTGAGTAGCTAGGATGACAGGAGTGAGCCCTGGTGCTAGGCACTTGCCTATTGTTATTGTTAGCATCTGTTATTGTTATTGTTAGCATCTGTTATTGTTAGCATCTGTTGTGCCAGTCTTAGGGGTTGAACTGAAGACCTGCCTGTTGTCCTTGAGCTGCTTTTTTTTTTTTTTTTTTTGGTCAGTCGTGGGGCTTGAACTCTGGGCCTGGCGCTGTCCCTCAGCTCTTCAGCTCAAGATGAGCGCTCTACCGCTGGAGCCACATGCCACTTCTGATTTTTTTTTTTCCATTTATGTGTGCTAAGAATCAAACCCAGGGCCTCCTGCATGTGAGGCAAGCGCTCTACCACTGAGCCACCTTTCTAGCTCCTCCCTGAGCTTCTTTTGTTCAAGGCTAGTGCCCTATCACAAGAGCCACAGCTATACTTCTGGCATTTTGATGCTTTAATTGGAGCGAAGAGTGTGAGGGACTTTCCTGCCCCAGCTGGCTTTGAATCTTGATCCTCAGGTCTCAGCCTCCTGAGTAGCTAGGAGCCACCGTTGCGGCTCTGGCTGGTATTAAGTGCATAAAGGGAAGAGCAGGTGCTCTCCTCTGTCCTTCTGCCCCAGAGAACCTGGTGGGGAGGACAGGGGCCCTGCTGTGTCACATGTGCTTTATTATTATTATTATTATTATTAGTGACTTGCATAAAGGAGTAAGAAATGCTTAACCAAGTTTAGGATGATTCAAAAAATCTAGGAGGGAAAGCCAAAGCTATGATGATAGGATCGATATTCAACATGACCTCAGTGGGATAAAATCTGGGCCGGAACCAATAGATTTAAGAGATAATTACAAAGTTCTGTACAAGGTTGACGAAGCTCATGGGGTAAGTTCATGCTTTGGGGAGCGCTCCACGGGACCCACAATACAAGCAGTTCAGGTGATGGGTTGCATGAGCCAGCTGTATCCTGGCTCTTAGGTTATGTTCATTCACTCAGCCAGTGTTTATTGACAGTTTGCCTACTGTGTGTCCAGACACTACAAGGAGCAAAATCCAGCCCTGCTTTGCTTTTTTTTTTTTTTCCTGACTATAAGTGGAGGAGGGCTGGGATCTGACTTGGATGGGTGGTGTGTGTGTGTGTGTGTGTGTGTGTGTGTGTTTATTGGGGCTTGAACTCAGGGCCTCATGCACTCAGGGCCTCATGCCCTTGCTTGGCTTTTTCTGCTTAAGGCAGGTGCTCTACTACTTGAGCCACAGCTCCATTTCTGGCTTTTTGTTGGTTAATTAGAGATTAGAGTTTGATAGACTTTCCTGTTTGGGCTGGCTTTGAACCTTGATCTGTCAGATTGCAGCCTCCTGGGTAGCTAGGATGACAGGTGTGAGTTACAGCTACCTGGCTCTCTGGTTTTGTTTTTTTGGGTCCGGTCATGGGGCCTGAACTCTGGGCCTGGGTGCTGTCCCTCAGCTCTTCAGCTCAAGGCTAGCGCTCTACCACTTGAGCCACAG